TGCAGCATGTGCTGTTGGACAAAGAGGTGGAAAGAAACAAAATTTAGCAGGTGAGGCGCAAACAGCATTTGCTTGGGCATTATTTAAGTCCTACAGTGAGTACAGATCAATAGACATATAGTGACACTCAAATGGAGCTTGAATTCAAGACTAGCCAAATTCAAGTTAGGCCTACTCACTTATGTTTGACTCAAATAAGGTTGGTATCGATATATAAATAATAACTATATAATAAGATAATACTGGACATGAGTTGCCATCTCATTTAGCTAAATAAGCAATCAAGAGATAGAATTAATGAGGTTGGGTCTCACCACTATTCTATCTCTTGGTAGGTTATTTAACAAAATGAGCTGCCACCTCATACCAATTTTTATATAATAATGTATATGTATATTAAATGATTAATCATGTGATAAATTAATTGATATACTGAACACTTTAAATAAATCTCTAGCAAAGAAGCTCAAACTAAATTGAGCTAATCTAGAAGCTAAAGAATTACTGTTCATGCTACAGTAAATATTGTAGCATAAACAGTGAACAAATCTGGTCCTCTCACTCCTTTGGACTCAAAACTACTATTTATGACACAGTAATTTACTGTAGCATAACAGTAAATCAAATATGCTCCTCCATATTTAAAGTTCCTATTTATGCTACAGTAATTTACTGTATCATAAATAGTAAAGCAAATCAAATGTATTAAAACTTGGATCATTCTTTAGGTATAGAGGAGTAGATACGATTTCTAATTTTAAGCATACAATAATTAAATTAAATGTATTAAAACTTAGTGGAGACAAGTTTAAAATGCGGTGCTTAAAAAATAGGGGGTCATGCTTTGCACGGGGTGCACACTAGTGATAGTAAAGTGAGAACTTGGCTCCACTATGTCTCGTTTATATTTTTCGAATCTTAACGACCTAATCTTGAATGCTTTAAATACAAAACAAATTGAACTTGTGCTAGCCACTCGCCAGTTTAAGCTCAGAATATAAACGAGCCAAACTTGAACTAGCCTATTGAATTTTGAGTGAAAATTGAACCAGACTAGCTCACTCAAGTTTTGCTCACACCGCAAATTAGGAAAATTAATAATGCTAAATAGCAAATAAAACATAAATGTGAGCAAATACACACGCTGCTCTTATTACAATTTTAATAGTGCAAGGTTAGAGATTTGATCACTGGTTTCCTTTGATCACATGATCCCATAATAGCCATTTCATGATGTTGTTCATATAAACTAACCATCTCCTTTCTTTCTTTTTTTCAAGGATTCTCTCAATCAGAAACCTTCTCTTTGCAGAAGGAAAAGTTAAGAGCAATGGATATGAGAGACACATATGAGAGGCTAGAAATGGGCATTAAGTTTGTTCAACAGAATATTGCAACAGTAGCAGCTAAGCTTGCAATACAATCTTTGGATTTGTAATTTTGTTGATCATGCCAAATGCAGTACTATCTTTGGATATGTAATCATGTTGATCATGCCAAATGCAGTTGCACCTTGCTTTCCAAATGAACCAAGAACTTGTTGAGGCAAAAACTCACTGAGTAGGGAGTTGAAAGGTGAGCACATTCACTGATCCAACCATGGGATCCGTGAAGGAGAATCTTTGTTCTGATTGCGCTTAGCGTTGGATTTTACTGCATTTTGTTTCAAACTCTAGTATTTATATTGCTGTATGTATATACACAGTTCTGCGCGGATATCTTCATCGTTTGTTTTGTGGACGAAACACGGAGTTCCATCTATTGCGGTTATAGATTCTTTGTTGTATGAGATTGTGGTATAACCATGAATATGAGATTGTGGTATAACCATGAATGGTTCGCACCTCTTCGTTCTTTAAGTATAGATTTATGTTTAGAGATAAAAGAAAAGCTAATTTTGTTAGGACGTAGTCCGTACAATAGCTCTTGTTTTAGTGATAATAAATTTTTATTTGGTACTAATATTTGTTTAGGATAATATAGTATAGGTAAATATATGTATAAGAAGTGTACGAGGCTAAATGACATGAAAATTAGCTTAAAACCTGATTTCAGCTCTCACCATCGGAGTGTCTTGCCTTTCATTTCTTTGAGGCATGACACATTGCATATGATGTTCGAAGAAGTATCATCCTCCAATCTCATAATGAGTTGGTTCTGCAGAATGATACCGAGGAGACTATCTTTGTTCCCAGTGATCTTCATTTGACTCAGACATATGGCTCAGAGAGGATAGGGTTGAATCATATTTAGGTTTATAACTTGTCGGTTTACCCAAATATAATTGATAGTGCCAAGAACGTGGAGCATTATTTTGGTGAGCCCTCACTCTATGCCTGCTTAGCCGAACAGCAGAGGGGCTTGTAGAACGTTGCTCTAACGTTTCCGTTGAATGGTCATTAACTTGAACTTGTTGCATTGGGGCAGACACAACCCTACTTGGGGTTCTTAAAAAACTTTCCTTCTTGATAGGGCCTTTTGGTTGTTGAGGGTTGGGCAGTTAAAAAGGAGAGAACCCCCTATCATAAGAATTTGTTCCAAATGCCTCCATGTATCGAGAGCATCCAATATGAGGGAAACACCTTTGAGCAACACAGTGTCTCATTTCAACCGAAGAGGAATATATGCTTTCTTCCATCACTCCCTTACCCTTTCCAACATGAAAAATGAATGGTTTCTCCTTATTGGGTATCTTTAGGAACCTCACGGGTAACAATACCGGGGGCACTCCTCATGTTTGCATTGAGCTTTTGGGCATTAGCAATAGGAGTTGGGACTGAGGGTAATGAGTTGGTTGTTGATAATACTGATGTTGATGATGGGTGCTTTCATAATATTTATAATTAGGAGTGGCTTGCCTTTCTTTTCTTTGAGGCATGCCATGTTGCATATGATGTCCGAAGAAGTACCGTCCTACAGTCTCATAATGAGTTGGTACCGCATAATGATACCGAGGAGATTGTCTTTGTTCCCAGTGATGTTCATTTGACTCAGACACATGGCTCCGAGAGGATAGGGTTGAATCATATTTAGATTCATAACTTATCGGTTTACCCGAATATAATTGATAGTGCCAAGAACGTGGAGCATCATTTTGGCGAGCCCTCACTCTAGGCCTACCTAGCCGAACAACAGAGGGGCTTGTAGAACATTGCTCTGACGTTTCCCTTGAGGGGTCATTAACTTGAACTTGTTGCATTGGGACATGTGCTACCTTACTTGTGGTTCTTGAAAAAACTTTCCTTCTTGATAGGGTCTTTTGGTTGTTAAAGGTTGGGCAGTTGAAGAGGAGGAAACTCCCTATTATAAGAATTTGTTCCAAATGCCTCCATGGCTCGAGAGAATCCAATATGAGGGAAACGCCTTTGAGCAACATAGTTCCTCATTTCAATTGAAGAGGAATCTATGCTTTCGTCCATTACTCTATTACCCTTTCCAACATGAAAAGTGAGTGTTTCTCTTAATTGTTAAAAGGCATCTTTAGGATCATCATGGATGACAATACCACGGGCATTCCTCATGTTTGCATTGAGATTTTGGGCATTAGCAATAGGAGTTAGGACCGATGGTGATTTCCTCATCCTTTTCTTCATAGCCTTAGTCACCACAAGAGTCAAGCCATCATCATCCACCTCAATGTGTATTGGGTGAAGAGGACATTCAGGCTGTGGGATAGGGCGCGGTGTTGCTTGAGGAATGTTCTCCACTGTAGCCATCTTCATTGAAAGTAGCACCCACAATGCACCAATTTGCATGTACACGAATTTTTGAGTCGTGCCATTAACATTTGTGTTGTTCACATGATTGGTCATTTTACATGCGAACAATAAATGTAGAGATAATGATTTAGTGCTTTGTGCACAGAAATTTTTTTAGTGCTTTATGCACAAGATGTCATCTAAAATATTTGCTTTCTAAAAGTTGAGGGGAAAAGCATGCTCCCACTATGGTCACCAAAAAAATTGTAAGTGTCAGAATACCTGACGTGTATATTTTGTAAACAAAATTAAAGTGATGCTAGTATCCATCATAAGAGAAATAATATTTGGATAAGCTAATCTCTTCTTGACTAAGTCGTATCACCAATCTCAAGGTGAGTAGAGCAATCCCTAAATATTGACTCCTTAGGTGCATATTAGTATCACTTTGTTTGTGCAAAAAAGTTGTGAGGTGCATGTTTCCAAAAATTTATTTCTTTCTATTAATTGCTCTTATTAAAAGAAACCCTTGATTAATATAAAGCAAAGAATTAAATAGACATTAGAAATTCAATGTAGAAAGATATTGATTTCATTATCTTTCTAATGTATTACAGAATTTAAGAGAAAGAAGATGAGATCTTGGGTCTCCAGACAATGTTCTGGAGCGCTCCTCCCTTTTAAAATAAAAATGTAGAGGAAATTGTCGTTGCTATTTCAGATTCCAAGTCTCTCTTTCTTTTCAGTCTCTCAGCCTTGTCTCTATCTTTTCTGTCGTTCTTTGTTATATTCCCGTCCTTCTCTAATAAAAGGAATGCCTATTTATAGGGAAGATCAGGGGAAGTTATCGCCAATTGTTGAAAAATGAGTGGTGGAGTTATGATAACTTCTTTATAGAAACTTTCTTATCAAGATTGTTACGTTCATTTATCATAATAAACATTTTTTCGCTTTTCACTTCTCATGTGTCTATCTGCTTATCTTTTGTGTTTCTTAAAATAGATGTTATGGGGAGCCTATACACTGTCAAGTTGAAATTAGGTTTACATGAGGGTGAGTATCCCCGAGTTAGATTTTATTGCTGAGGCTTATGTCCAGATGATAACATCAATGTATTGAAATTGACATGCACCCTCAAGTTTGAGAATTTGGTTAATATGAAGGGGTGAGGCATGTCTTTTTTGGTTGGATTAATAAGGGTACATGTACTCTCAAATTTACATGAGGTGCTTTCATTCTCACATTGATTTTGATTTATATGAGGTACTATCATCCTGAGGTACTATCATCCTCGCAATAGATTTCATTGATAAGACATGTTGAGCTCATCAAATTTGATGACTACAAGAGGAAGGCATGCCTCTTTGAGTTAATTAATATAGAGAGCCTACCTCACATTGGTTTTAATTTATATGAGGTACTATCCCTCACATTGGTTTTGATTTATATTGAGGTACTATCATCCTCATAATAGGTTTCATTGATGGGGCTTGTTGAGCTCATCAATTTGTCAACTTTAAGGGGAAGGCACGCCTCTCTGAATTAATTAATATAGAAGGCCTACCTTCAAGTTAACTTGTATATAAGTTGTAAGTATCCTCAAGTTGATTTCACTTTTAAAGCTTATCGAAAGGTATTACACCTTTTAATTAATTAAGTTTGTGGAGTGTTGAGATATAAAAAAAATTTGTGCGTCTACACCTGAATCTCAATGTGGTGAATGGACCAATTGAGATTTTTTGTGATAATAAAGCTGCTATAAGCCTAATAGACAATGGTTCAAATAGTTCAAAAGGAAGACATATTGAGGTACAATATCATTATATTCAAGATATTGTGGAAAAGAAAAAAAATTTAAGGTGACTTACATTCCTACAAGTGATATTGTTATAGCCATTTTAGTAATGAAAAGTAAACTCCAATCAATGACAGACAACTATCCCACATTATGCATAATCAAGTCAGTGTTTTAAGATAATCAAAGGCCCAATTCGGTCGACTCGTCATGCCAACATCTTGCGAGGATGACCCGAAAGACGTCACGTGTCAATGACCCAAAATGCATTACGTGTCATCCCCTGGCTAAGTCAACTGCTTAATCACTTCATTCAGCCGACTAACCAGCCGACACCTTACGAGGGAAACTCAAAAGACAGTACTTCTCGACCATCGAACGAGTAGAAAGGTGACGAGACATATTGAGCCTCGAGCACCCTCCCATGCACTGACGACCAATCACCTCGCAATAAATGACATTATATATATTATGGTCACCATATTTTCTTTGCCTCCAATAGTATTTATGACACATCGGACCATGTCGGCACCACACACCCCCAATCACATCTCATTAAATACCGAAGTGACCTCTCCTCCACTTGTTGACCAACACCTGTAAAGCAGAGGCTGATGTGGCCGCCATCCCATATTCAGCTAAAATTACCATTCTACCCTTCTGCAACCACTATAAAAAGAAACATTATTTTCAATAACAGGGTAAGTTCTTTACTACTACTTACTGTGTTTAAGAACTACTGTAGTTTATTTTTATTTCTACTCTCAAGCAACTCACTGACTTGATCGTCGGGGGAACAACCGGGGAACCCAACCCCGCCCTCTTACAATTTGCTATTTGTGCAGGGAAGAATAGCTTACTCCAAAACTAGATATTCGGAGGGTTAGAGGACATCCGTCAACTTAATCACAACACTCATTTGATTGTTGATATCATACATCAACAGATATGATAGCTGATCCCTTAACAAAGGGAGTTTCATCGGATATGTTCATTAAACATGTAGGTTTGATGGGACTTAGGAATGTGTAAGTTAGGAAGCTAAAGCGACATTCATACTCCATGAATAGTGGGAGCATGAAAGGAATTTTTGTATTATATCTCATGACAAATGGGAATGTACTAGAAATATGTTTTGTTTCAGCCAAGTGAGAGATGTTGGTTTTGTCCTCAGCAAAATTCGCCTATTATCTCATAAAATCAGGAGAGAGTTGTAACAGATAGAAAATATCTGGGATTGTTGAGAGAATAACTTAACAGTAGATTTCGTGGAAATTGAGGGCGGATCTGAAGGGTGGATGGTTGCAGAGTGAGCCCTTTAAATTGATGGCTAGAACCCATGGAAGTTTCACTGCAAATCGGGAACCCTAAAAAAAATTCGCATCTTTTTCTCCCTCTTCAAATTTCTTCATATACATCATTGAGAGAGAGAGAGAGAGAGAGAGAGAGGAGAGTCTAGGGTTTTATTTTTGAGAGAGATTTCGTTGAGGAATTTGACTCCTGAAGCCTCGACAAATTTTTACTCGTCACGCACAATTCTCCTTATGTGTATTTTTTTGTACATTATAAATACTTCGCTTACAATTTTTATCTTCCTAACAAAGCATTTAACTCTTCTGGGATACTATGCACAATGAAAGAAATCTACGGCAGGAAACTGGAAATGTACCTCATTACTAACCCAAAAAAAAATCTTCTATATTATGCTTTTTTCATCATGACAAATTGGGATTTGGAAGACATCCTTAAAGTAAATATATAACAGGTATTTAACGTCAACGAAGTCGATATGTCCGAGTGGTTAAGGAGACAGACTCGAAATCTGTTGGGCTTTGCCTGCGCAGGTTCGAATCCTGCTGTCGACGTTTATTTTTAAATTAACGCTGTTTTTCTTTTTCGCACTTTTTTTTGCTATAAATAAATTATTTGCTAATCTCATGATTCTCTCGCTAATCGCATAATTAAAGGGAGACGGAGAGAGAGTGTCGTGAAAGAGGGCCCTAATTAACTTTCATCTCTCTCTCTCTCTCTCTCTCTCTCTGTCCCCCCATTTCTTCCGCCTCTCTCCCCTCTTCTCTCTCTAATTCTAATGGCGGAATCCATAGAGAAAAATGAGCAGCCTAGTAAAAGTAAAATCCCTCCAAAATACGATCTGAACGCGAAATTAGATGCCTGCGTCGATCTCGCCGTCCGTAGAACCGCCTACGCCTCCCTCGCCGGCGCCTTCACCGGCCTCCTCCTCTTCCGTAAGCTCTCTCTCTCTCTCTCTCTCTTACTTATTATCTTTATTCCTTTTGACTTCAACGATTCCCTCTGGATTCGGCTCGATTATATGTCATCTCTTGCTGTTTCCATGTCTAGGGCTTGGTCGTCATTTTGACCTAGATCCCTATTTCGATGCAATAGGTTTGTGAATTAATCAGCATTTTTATCAGATATTGTAATGAGCTGCCAAGTTTGTAGCGAAATTATATCTAGAAGAGATGAGAGAAACTTTTGTTTTTTTTTGGGCGTGGCAATTCTATACCTATAATAATTGGGTGGTGCGGAATATCTTTATGTTTTGGTTTGAAAATTGATATAATTGATATAAAGCTTGAGATTTTTTTTGACGCTGGATGAGGAGTGAGACAAATATGAATTGGAATATTGATATGAGACCTGAGACCTGCAACTTGTATTCAGAATGAAATGAGGGAGTGCTGATTGAGACAGTTTGTGCATTGCCTATAAAGGGGTGTGTTGGAGACGGGAGCGGGTTTTTCGCTAACGTGATCCACATCTTGATCCCTACAGCTCAAATCATCAACCTAGCTAGATCGTTTGTGATGGCTTGGATGCGCGCCACATCAGTGATGCACCGATTATGCACCATGCTCGTTTACTATCTATGTATATGTATATATGTATACATAAGTATGTGTATTTGACTCTGCGCTGCACACACATGCGCACACACATACATAATATGCACATGTATCTCATAAATAATGGGTATGAAGTGATAGCTCATCTTACTAAATGAGCTACCAAGAGTTGCACATATGGCAAAGCCCAACTTGTGAATTGTGTACTCGAATTCGTATCACAATCCGTTATGTATCGTGTAGTGTGTAACTATGGTTAACACAATCAGGGAGATGATCCTTAACAAAATTGAATGGAAGAAAAATAAGTCATGTGGCCAAACCTAAAATTTTTGGGACAAATACTGTTGTAGCATATAACACATGTCAACACAAACAAAAAATGACACATTTTTTTAATGCAACGCACATCTAGGAGGAGGGGTTGGAGGACTGAATCCCTTGAACTGTGCCACTGGGGGAACATCCGGAAACTTTTTAGTTATTTGGTGAACTAACTCTCAATAGCTACCTAAGAGTGAACACTTTCAATATTTAAGATCAATAATTCATCAGATAGTGAAACTGAGTATGATATAGTTAATAGAGTGAAATCAGGATAGTTAAAGTGGGAGAGAACTTCTAGAATTCTATTTGATTGGTAAATTCTATAGAAAACTTATAAAACCAAGAATTCTTTATGGATCATAATGGGAACGAAGAATGAAAATGTTGCAAATATAATGGACGCATGAATATACACTAAGAGATGATAAATAATGAGTGCATTCATAGAAACTTAGAGCCTGCTTCTATTGAGGATAAAATAGGAAAAAATTGATTGATGATCATGTTCAGTAGATATGCCTAAATACACAAGTTAGGAGAAGGATGAGTTTGTAGTTGATGAAGCAAGGAGGATTAGAGGTAGGCCTAATAGAACTTGATTTGAAATAATTAAGGGCATTGTAACGATTAAGGGCATGCTTGACAACTGGTCAAATTGGCTTATAAGCCACTGCAACATGTTTGGCAACTAGCTTATCTTGGCTTATAAGCCTAAAACAAAAAGCTCCCCTAACCCAGCTTATTTTTTTGGTGTCTTATAAGCCATACAGTTTGACCAAGTAAATTTCAAGTTTACCCTCAAGTAACATTTAATATAATTCCAAAGTCTATTCATTGTTTAAATTTGTGTCATGTCTAATTTGGTTATTGTGACAACAATGATGGATTATAGTTCACCCATTTGCCAAACACTCTTCTATTGAAAGCGGCTTATAGTCCCTTTTTTACCAAAACTTTGGCGTATAGTCTGCTTGGCTTGTAATTCATTTGTGGATTATAAGCCAAGTTCCCAAGTATGCCCTAACTAGCAGAATAGATAATCCTTAATATAATTGAATGGAAGAATATTATCCATGTAAACCAACCCAAAAGTTTCAGATAAACGTTATTGATTTTGTTACTAAAAGAACTCATCCTAAGTTCATAAGGAAATTGGAGGTCATAGTTAGAATTCTATGTTCCAAATTTAGATCAGTAAATGAAAGTAGTTGTTCAAACGTTTGAAAATTAGTTCGCAATATCTGTAGTTTTAGTTACACTTACTAATTTTAGTTAAGCACAAACTCTTTTTGATTTTAGTATATTAGAAGATTTATAACTACAGATTTGTAAATTTGTTACCTGAATGAAAATCCTTTCTTCACCTAAGCCAAAGTATATGTCAACTAAAAAATGTGCTGCATGTTTATGATTTAGGCACATGTTCAATTTACTACTGGCATGTAAGCATGTTGCTGTTAGTTGATGTACTGAGGCAAATCAATTTATCTGAAGTTGTAATGCACAAATTTACTTGTCAAAAATTTCCTTGATAGAATGACCTTTCCTTTATCTCTGTGTCTTTGTTTTATATTGTACACAGCACAAATGTGAACACTGCCTAATATTGAGAAAAAAGTTGTGGAACAGAAGGATAATGAACAGAACCTAGTACCCATTATTCTGTCAAATAACAAAAAAAAAATACATCAGTATGAAATTTTTGCTTTCTAAGTACTAAATTTACAAGAAATGAAAGGTATGCCATTTTGCATCTTCTTGATCCCAGTTTTATTACCATCTTTATTTATTCAGGAAGCCCAGTGAGTCGATGGGCATCTGTAGCCTTTGGTGCTGGGGTGGGTATTGGATCAGCCTATATTGAAAGTTCATATATGTTTGGTGGATCTCCTCCAAAATGGTCAGCTCCAAAAGCTCCTGTTGCCCCTCCAATTCATGTAAGGTTTCTTTGTAATATTTTGGATTGTGCTTATCTCTACACTATATTTGTCTTGCATTAGTAATTTAGTATATTTGTCTTTCTTTCCATCGCGAAGGGAAAAGAAGACAAAATCCATTAAAAGCCTTTCGTATTGCTACTTATAATATATGTTATTCTTCTATAAGTTGCATTAGTATATCTAACTTAGTTTTCTGCTAATATTGAAAAGAAAAGAGAATTGGTTAAATCCTTACTGCCGTACTATTTATAGTATTTGTCTATAGATGAACAATTTTTTTACAAGGATTTATGATTAAACTGGAATGTGCACGGTAACTATGCATCACATTGAAATACATAACTCAAGTTTATTTTGTTTTGTTTTGAGATTAAACATGAAATGAGATATCTTAATTACCCTTGCCAACAATCATTGTTTTGAGCTGAATATTGGAATATTAGTAGACTCGCGTGTGAGTTAAAGCCTTAGAAAAAGGGTTAACTAATGAAAGCAATGAAGCATTACAAAGAAACTCTTTATATTCTTGGGTATGTTAAAGGTGTATACAAAGGGTATAATAAGGAAATGGATAAAGCTTTTTAATTCGCAAATTACGGAGGTATCAGGATCAAGGAGAGAAAGAAGAAGCCACATAAAAAAAGAGTGGGGAAATTCTCTGCAAAAAAAATCAGTTTCATACTATTCTTTTCCTTTTTTTTCCTCTTTAACAAATATGGGTAATAAAAGAAAGGAGTTTCTGTTAGTCTCTTGGGCATGAGGCATCCACCACACATCAGATAATTATCAGGAAAATCCTCTTGTCATGCTTAGCGAATGATGAGAATCAAAGTCCACATTTCTTACTTGGGAGAGTAATACTTTTGTCATGTCATGTATCCGCCTTTTGTGAGAGAAAGGAACTTGATTAAGTGTTTGTTCTTTTCCTGTTCATTTGATTATCAATCTATCATCCTTCTTCTTGCTGTTCTTGCCTTGGATTGTTCCTTCTCCTGGAACTTCATCTCACTAAATCCCGAGAGGGGGACAGAAGGGACACCTCTCCTGTGACAAGTGACAACTGCTTGTTGGGACTTTTGAAGGACAAAATCTAGTAGCTCGTTGTATTATCTAATCTAATACTATTATAAAAGTGTGTTGGTATGTTAAAACATTTCTTCCGAAAATGCCCTTTAAAACATGTACATGCATACATAAAACACATGCATCCATACATAAACCATAGCTCATACATACATATAACCCCCAATTAAATGTATTATTATTCATAACCCCTAAAATAATTTTACCGTGACTAAGTTGTTTATATTTTTATAACCTCCCATTAACATATTAGTCTCTTATAATTCTCACTAATTATCACTATCATAATTAAAAAAACATTACAACCATTCATCTTCTTACTAAACCACTATATATTATAACAAATCTCTTACAAAAATGAATAAATCATATGCAACTGTTTGGTGGAAAATTTGTAGTAAAAGGAAAAATTAAAAGAAATGTATTTGATTTGTATTCTCTCAATCTCAATTACAATTTAAATTTCCGATTACAAAAGATAAGAGAATTGATCTGAATTCTCCCCTTTGTTTAAGTCTGGGTTCTTCACGGTGGCGATGAGATGCCTCCCTCGAATGCTCGCGTCGAGTTTGCTTCTCGTTGACCATCCGAACGTCTTGTTTCACTGGAATGTGGTCTTCTCCTCACGATTTAACGTTGTGGAGAACTTGCAAAGTAAGTTTTAGAACTCTGGACGAGTTGATAACTCTGAACGAGTTTGAAACTCTATGAAAGAGTTGATTTAACCGAAATCGGTTTATAAGCTAAGGATGAAGAAAGCTCCTGTTGTCGATCTCCAAAGCTCCAGCAATTTCCCCAAAAAGCTAGCGAGGATCTCTTCTTTTCTGCCAAGCTCCAAGGCCAAAAGAGATCAATCCGAGAGCAATCTGCCAGCCCCCCAAAAGACCAGCCTACGATCTCATCTTTGCTGCCGAGTCTAAGATCCAAAAACCCAGCCGAAAGGAAGATCCGAACTCAGTTGAGCTTACTCTTTTTTATAGGGGATTAAGGGGGTGTAACCGTCCCTTAAATCACTCCTAAGTGGGGTGTAACCGTCCTCAAATCATGGGAAACAGTTTTGGAACTGTTCAAGGGTTTAAGGGGTGTAATCCCTCCTAAAATCTCTCCATAATGGGATATAACTAAGGGTGCCAAACGGTTCGGATATATCCGAACCGATCCGCATCCGTATCCGAACGGATGCGGATATGGTAAGCTAATTTTGAAACCGGGCGGATACGGTAACGGATACGGATATGGTTTCGGATTTTTTTTTCGGATACGGATTCGGAAACGGATATTAGAGTTGCGGATACGGATATCCGCAAATGTAATAATGATTCGGGTCCCAAAGTTCCATTTCCAAACCCGTAACCGCTAACCCAAACCCGTATGTATATAACTTGTAAGTTCTAAACCCTAGCCTCCCAACAGCCAGCCCATTCCATCTTCCTCCACTCCATTCTTAACCGCTAACCCTTGCGCCTCCATCGCCTCACCAGATCGTCAGATCTTCGTGGAATCTTCGTCGTCTTCGAAACCTCAAGGGCCTAAGTGAAGATCTTCGTCGATCTTCGTCGTCTTCGTAACCGCTAACCCTAGCGCCTCGATCTTCGTCATCTTCGTCGATCTTCGTCGTCCATCGCCTCAGTAAAGATGCCCAACTTCAGATTCCATTGTCTTTTCTTTTGAGTTCAAGAAGACAAATGATTCATCGTTGGGTAGTTTTGCTTCCAATTATCCACAAGCAGATTGGGCACAGGAAGGGGGTGATCCGGCTTCTTGGTCTTGGGTACAATGTAATTCTGATCCACAACCAAGAGTAATTTCAATGTACGAAAAAATTGAACAGTGCCTCCCTTTATGGTTTATTTGGTTATCCTTTTGCCAATTTGTCCTGGAAATAATTCTATTGTTTTATATGCACTAACATCAATTTTATTTAGGCAGTAGTTTGTCTGGGATAAATCTGACAGGGGATATTCCTTTGGAGCTCACAAAGTTAACAAGATTGGTTGATCTGTAAGATTCACAAAATTCTCTCGTTTTCTGTATTTCGCATTCATCGTTATGCATTTCATAGATGCATAAATTCCCTTTTATCATGATAAATCACAAATCCTAATTGCAGACGATTTGGAATTGCTGCAACATACAGGTTTTACTAATTTAAATATCACAGATGCAATTGTGCCTGTAAAATGGAACTTTGGAATTTAGGGTGTGTATCATAGTCAAGATTCCTGGATGATTCAATGTTTATACTATAGCGTTATGTTTGCAGGTAAAGATGTTCTTGCAAAAGCAAGGACAGGAACGAGAAAACCATAGCTTTTTTTGTAAGTCTTATACTGGATACTGCGATTGGTAAGTCCCTCCGTATTACATCAAGCAGCAGTCTAGGTGCATAGACTCCTTAGTCCATCCGCAGCAACCCAGAAACAGTACCTACACATCCAACCATTTTCCACACCACACAGAAACTGCTAGAAACCTGCATTGCTTGCAAATAACCAAGTAGATAAATATTTTTTGTGTTAGAAAATATTCAGATTGTTTTTCAACTTTGGATGCTGTTTGATGTAATATGAGATCTTTAATCTTACACAAAATTTGGTTATATCTTCAATATGTGAATATCCGTTTATATCCGTGATCATATCCGATCCGATTCTCAAATATCCGATCCGTATCCGTTTCCGATAAATGCGGATATGGTTAAGGTTTTTTCTTACCGAGAATGATCCGTATCCGTATCCGTATCCGTTTATAAAAAGCGGATATGGATATGGTAAGTGTCATATCCGAACCGTATCCGCTCCGATAACACCCCTAGATATAACCGACCCCCATTAAGTGGAGATACGGTTTGAAGACCGTTCAGGTTCTGTTTGAACCAGTCGAACGCAAAAAACACGGGTCTGACCCTCGCGTTTTGATGTTGCAAGGCGGGTTCGACCCCTGCATTTTGATGTTGCAACGTAGGTTCGACCCCTGCGTTTTGATGTTGCAACGCAGGTTCGACCACTGTGTTTTGATGCTGACACACGGGGAGGACCTCCGCGTTTTGGTGTGGCAACGTAAGGAGGACCTATGCGTTTTGTTCTGGGAACACAACCACGAGCCATGCACTTTGAATCTGGGACGCATATGTGAGCTCTGTGTCTGAATTTGAAGAGACCGTTAATTTATAGTCTCTTTTGCTAAAGTGTTGCAAAGACCGTCATCTTATAATTTTTAGGGCTGGATTGGTAGGTATACCAATTATATTTTCCTAATACCATGTACCAACCAATATATAATTGGTAGGAAAAATTCACCATTTCTACCAACCAATAACGTTGGTATACCAACTATTTGGTACGGTTGGTACTCGGTTGGTACGGTTGGTAATGAGCTTCTACCAAGATATTTATGATCCAAAAATTTAAAGTTCCAACTCAACAACACCATTACAGAAAGTTGAAAAGAGCATAATTCTCCTGCTGCCAAAGGCCAAACCTGTCTTACTAATTGTCTAATTCAGTAATTCATTATTGCGAAATAAGTAAGAAACTAATAACAAATTGTCCTAGCTGCAAATCTACAAACCCAATATCGCACTTCATCCTTAAATGACTTCCAGTACAAATTGAATTGTTAAAGAGGTTACTAAATGGAACAATTTATTATCCTTTTTCAATATCCATGTTTCTTATTCATGAATTATTCTCTAGAAGAAAAGAACATACAAATGTTTTCTTCACCTTTTGCATTCCTGGATACAAAGCTTAAATTATGGACATATTATTCTAAGATTCTGAATATCGATATGCAAGCATCCATACCAAAGAAAATCAATTCTTGCAATAGAAGCTACTGCAGTTTTCCACGGATTGACTAACCTCACGGGCGACTTCCTCAGCATGGCACTCTCGGTTCGCGTGAGTCTGCTCGGCGATCTACTTGTGACGCTGGTTAGGTTAAGAGAGAGGATGCCATGGCTTTTGGTTCAGAAACGAGTGGCTCTACGCTGTACCCGACTTTGTCCTGTAATCGACCTCGCCGGAGCCGACGACGCCCTTGTCGGAGTTCTTCTTTCCTAGTCGGAGACCGCCGCCGCCGCCCTCGTCCATTTTTTATCGGAGATTTGAGAGAACTGAGCAGGGTTAGGTATTGGGAAGACTGGATAAAGAGAGAAACTTCCGTGGAGACGGGTTGGATTTGGATCTGGTCGGATAATTTGAGAGAACTGAGACTGAGAGTGGGAGGCTGAGAGAGATTAGATTAGGGTTAAAAAAATCAATGGTTGAGATTTATCTTCCCTAAATCTATGGTTGAGATTTAAGGATATATATATATTTTATATATTAAATAATTTAATATAATATAAGTTGGTAGGTACGGTATACCACGGTAGAGGAAAAATGTGTACCACCTACCGTACCATGTTTTGAAGCTGGTACGGTATACTGTACCGTGTACCATGTACCGATTTGATGGTATACCAACGTATTTGGTACGGTTGGTACATGAATTGGTTGGAATGGAATTGTGTACCATTGCCAGTCCTAGTAATTTGTCTTGGCTCCTTGAAAATATGAGAGTCGTCAGATTGTAACTCCTGATATTGATTGTGAAGACTGTTGATTAGAGCTTTCATCAGTTATTACGAAGGTCGTCAGAGTGTAACCTTCATCGATCTACGTGAAAGTCTTCAAATTGTAGTCTATTGAAAATCGTCAGATTGTAACTTCTATCATTGGTGTTTGATGGGGGATCAGCTATCTATTATAATTTTTAGACAGCCTACAACAACCCTCATCATCTCCATTGCATCTCCTCAAATCCTTGAACGTCTCTTTGTCCCGATTTTGCCTATTTGGATTTCATTCTCTGCACAACCAACCACTACTTACTCTCTTATTATAACATGATAAGATTAGCATGATTTATAGTGAAAGATTCTTTCTCTATCTTTTATAGAGAATGTTTCAACTGATTTTTTACCATTAGAATTTCTCTTTGCTTGATTTGGCTTATTATAACGTATGTCTTAGTCAATCAAGATTTTTGTTGTATTTATTTTTTGTTTTGAGAACCATAAAACCCAATCAAGTATGAAATTCATGATTTAACAAAATATTTTTTACTTAAATATTTTATTTAAAGTAAAAAATGCATAATTTATTTTAAAGTTATAGTTTAATGTGCTATCAAAACTTAAGATGATGCAAATGGGTAAAAAGAGTTGGACATAATAATAATAGTAATAATGTCTCACTTATAACCTCTTCATATTCATAACCTCTCCATTAATTACCTATAAATTTTTTATTTAATCTCTCACTCATAACATCTCCTAATCTTTAATTTCATCCATTAATCTCCATCACTAACAATAATGAAATCCCACCCCCACCCCCAACAAACACTATCCTTTAATTTCAGCAGAAACTAAATATACTTAATTTTTATAACCTCCCAATAACAAATTAATCTCCTACTCTCTCTTTCTTAATTATCACTAATGATCACTACCATAATCATAGAGAATGTTTCAACTGTTTATTTTTATACTAGTCACTATAAATCACAACTAATTTGTTTAAAATTTTCTATGAATTCTCTTTTAAGTATAATTTCCTACTTCATTATTAACACTAATAAAGTAAGATTTTGAAATAAGCTAAATATAGCGTGAGGCTTCGTGACATGTGTGTATTATTTAGAGCTCAAGGTCTTAAGACTAAATTCTGGAAATAACACATCAAGTTACTTCACTTCCAACTGATCAAGTAAGATGAATAATCGAAGAAGAAACAAAAAGTAGTTTCTCGTATTTATATAAATGAGTTTGAGATTTTTAGGTTCTGCTCTTACTATGTATATGCAAAGATCTTTAGCACTAGGAACTTTGAACTGAGGATATACTTTGGTCATACCCATCATGATGGTTCATTAAAAAATCATGTACTGAGTTGCAAAATCCATCCTTCACAAAAAGTTTTGTTTGATTGAAATTTGTAGGTTCAACTTAAAAATATTGTTAGAGCAAAATAATAACACACATTACTGTAAGACCCCATAACTTTTTTTTGATGATGTTTGTTCTTAACAATTGAAGAAGCTCTGATTAAGTCTTTTCAGAGGACTATAATATCGATCTTGGTTAATTTTTCAGCTCTGATAGAGTATTTTCTTAGTTGTCATAGAACATAAAATTTTTCATATTAATACAAAATATTTAAATTATTATTTTGCAGTTAGTATGTTATTTATCCTTCCTATATAACTATATTATAAATTTGTGAATAAAAAAACCTAGCATGTGCTAAATTATAAACGTCAGACATTATGTTAAATTATAAAACAAATAGAATTATGCTTTTTAGGTTCACAAATTGAATAATGTCTTTTAGGTATTCCATAAGTTTTATTGGAATGCTCTGGTTTCATAAAACTAAAATTTTAGAAAAATTATAGAGTAAACCTTAAAATTTGCAAAACACCCCTGAAACTTTATAATTTTATAGATATGCTATAAAATTTGCAGAAAGGACCTTGAAATGTCACAAATAAACCTCATAAAAGATTATATTTACTCTAGGATTTTAATGATAAAAAGATAGCAAAAATCCTCAAATTACATCTAACACCAAACTTATTATAAAAAAAAGATAAACATCAAATTAATCCAATAACGTGCAACGCACGTGCACTATACTAGTTATCATAAACATAGCTATGAACTTAATAACTACATAATTAACAAAAAGTTCCAACTTGCAAAACTAATTGCTCTGTGACCTGTTCTATGCAGCTAGTCGATGTGTGGTTGATACACAGAGCTTTAGTTAAATAATTTTGAACAATAGCAAAATATAAACTTATTATTCTCGTTGTTATTTTCGCTGCTGATATTTATGTTGTTGGTTGTTGTATCTTGATTTTGTTCATTTTGAGGTTTGTTGCGTCCTCGTCCGATCTTTCTGCCATCACTGGAAGATTAAATTACTTGTTATTGGCCTTTGAATCAGACTTTATTCTTTGTTGTGATTAGTTGCAATCTGGAATTTCCTACCCTTTTACTTTAACTTTAACAATGTCTATTAAGGATGATGTATCCACCGATGTGTCAAATAATAATATTTTTCCACTTTATCTTGAATTTTCTGAACTTTGTGCAATTGTTTGCTTGTGAAGTTACCCATTATTTGTGTTCTGTAATCTCTAAAGAATAACACCAGTGTGATTCTTATTTATTCTAGGTGGAAGTTACATCGGAGGAGACCGGTTAGGCAGCTAACGGATCTTCTGGACGAAGAAATCTGCTCGGAATCTTAAGTTAAATTGCTCTATTCTACCTGCAAGCTTATGTTTTGACGGTTAAAATTCATTTTCCTTTCTCACATATGTGGGTTGTTGTTAAGCCCCAAATATCAAAATGTTACAAAATATGTTCATCTTTAACTTTGAATGCAATCTTGTAGTTCAAACTATGAAGCCTTGTTCTTTTCAACAGTACTACTGAGTTTTCATCCACTGAGACTTTACATTGAGAAATTACTATAAGACGTTACTACATTCAGTGTATCTGACAATTTTAGACCAGGTATACATACAATTATGTGCACCAACATATACGTAACTAAGAATCAATCTCTTTTTACAATGCCATGTACGATGTACAATCTGCTGAAGGTATCTCAGATCAAGGATCTATACCTAGGTCCCTGAACATTTCCTGAAATAGTTGCGACGGTAATTAATGCCTTTGCTCCATTCACCAATTGATCCAAAAGCATTATAGCACCGACCGTTTTCAAAGCTGTTTCTGCTAGTTTCTTCCCTTTATCTCCGCTGCCGTCAAGAACTATTGCTTGTGTTGCTAGATGTATCGAACGACATACTTTTAAAGAGACAGGATCATCACTCTGTGAGCTCCTAGTGAGAACTCTAGCAATCAAGTCCCTGTTGCTCCGGAGATTGGGCTCTGAAGATGATCCTGCAATTGTACTGGTGATCACTTCGACGCCTACATCTGCTGTGCTGTTCAAAAGCTCGGTGAGAAACGGATATTGTATTATCCAACTCTGTTGATGAGAGGGGGTTTTCGGTCAGAAGAATTTGCCTAAGCACCAACATGCTGCAAAATGTATTAGGACCATGTTGGGTGCTGAAAAATATACTTAACAAGATAACTATAGAATTATTTAAAGTAAGAATTTAAGTTATGAGTGAACTTTCACCTTGTTGAGATAGCGATAATTTGTTGAAGCTGGCTCTGCACATATCTTAATCTCAAGGCATTCAGTTCCAAGGGTCCCAGGCACAGTTTCTGTTGTTAATCCCTCAACGCCACTTGCAAGTTTTAGCACACCTAGCCTCAATAGCAAATCAAGCTTTTCTCATGTGCACTCTTACCGTTTTGATTGCAAGGATCATTTACAATTCTCCATCCCACAGAAGAGTTGTCTATTACTATTTAGACCCCCTATCTAACGAAAATAAATTGCAGAAATGCAACGTTTTTTTTTTCTTCACAAAAACATTTACACGAACCACTATATATATAAATGTAGAAAATGGCACCTGAATCACCATGAGGATTATCGTTTCGTGCAAGGGGAATGCAACCACCAGTTCTGAAAGGCAGTGCCAACCTGAAGACCCTGAAAATAAACCGGTCTTAGTAGGCAGATGTTGAATGTTATAACTGAACCGTAAAAAAACGTTGATTAAAATAAAAATTAAAGAGAGAGTTAATTCCCTTATGAGGAAACGCTCGACCTGTTCTTCACACAGTTTTAATTCCTTCTAGGTGGTTGAGGGGGCAATCCCCATGACTTCGAGGACATCGAGGGAGAGATTGTGATGACAGGTCTGGAGTATGAACTCGTCTGTGACCGGATCTCGGCAATTCATCGCCTTATTTCGGAAGCGTTTGACGAATGTGTCAACTGATTCTCCGTCTTCTTGCTTCTCATCTAGAAGAACTCCAATTGACAATTTAGTGTCATTATCAAAGAAATTGCTGAGGAATGAGCTTTACATATCGTCCCAGCAGTTGATGCTCCTTGGCTTGAGACGTCGATACCAATCGAAGGCGTCCTCGCGAAGGGTGCCTACGAATGACCGGATCATCAGTGGTTCATTCCTGAAGATCACTCCCAGATGAGACTTGAAATAGATCAAGTGTTGAGTGGGCGAGCCTCTCCCGTCAAATGGCGTGAACTTAATTATGGTGAACTTCGCCGGGAACGAGATTGAATCCCACTCTCTTGGATACGGGCACAGAATGCCCGTTTTTCTCACTTCTTGAGTGGACATTAAGGCATTGACTTTATTCTCTAGCTCTTTCATCATCTCGTTGTTCTCGCCCATATCTTTCTTTGGGCGATTTTGAGGACGAACGATGGGACCACTCTCAGCGTTGTCATTAGTGATGGGGTCATCTCCAGTGTTGGTATTATTATTGGGGCCACCCCCAGCATCTTTGTCATTTGTAGGAGCATCAGCATTGATAGTCTCCTCTACCTCTGAGTCGCTATCTACCTGATTGGTAGTGTGGCGACGACTGGATTCACCGTACTGATTTGACAACTCCTGAAGTTGTTGAGCATATAAATCCTTGACCCGCTATACGACCATCTCCATTTCAATTTTAAAATTTTCTTTTTGTTTGGCCAAGGCTTCTCGAAGAAGTTGAGCCACTTGTTCAGTAATGATCATGAATACTTCTCGAGCTCGCCACATGCTAGACATTGTATCGTTGGAGGCGATTACAGAGCAAGTATCTGAAAGTTCATCTTCTGAAGATAGTCCTTCGTGCATCTTCAGGTAATCCCCATGTCTGATGGCTTCTAACTGGAGCTGAGATATTCATCAGGCTATTCCTGAATCGACTTTTCTTCCCGAAGAAAAGTCGGGATTAGCGTTATTCGAATTGAACACAGACTTTCATTTGTCAGCCATATTGATGGTGACTTCTGAGAGTTCGTCATCTTGAATGGTCGATCTTCTTTTGCGGGAGCGTCTTGATTTGGATTTTGACGCTTCAATGGAAAGCCTTCGGAATACCGAGACCCTCTATGGAGCGGTTTTGGGACAGCTACACTCTGATAATACTGTCCTGATTAACCTCTCATAATGGCAGTGTGAGTCTGATTTTGGGGTACTTATCTTTCGAGAGTTATTTATACCCCCAGCTCGATAGTACAACTCATCAGCGTTGTGGTTGGAGCAACATATCGGCTGTTTACTTGAATTTTTAGGTATAACGCTGTCATCTGTCGGACACATTTTCTTCTGAATAGGTAACACCTTGTTAGCGTTCGAGTAACACGTTTGGAATCACATATTCGTGAGGGTGAGACCTTAACGGGCTCTTGGTCTTCCATACATACCCGAAGCGGGTGGTTACAGGAATCAACTTGTTAGAAGGGCGCGTACGACCCCCAATCTGAATAGTTGCTTCAGAATTGAGGAACGACCCCAAGTGTTCCTTGACAGGAGTCTTGCCTCGGTCTTCGTGTAGAGGACCTAAACGATCCTTCAACGGAATTTTAAATTTGGAGAGATCCATGCTGACGTAGGGCTTCACCGGAGGTACGGGAGCAAGAGGAGAGGGATCTGAAATTGACGAAGGTTGGGAAGCAACCCTGGAGCTAGAATTGAGTGAGAGACATGACTGGTGTCTCTTGTCAGGTAGAGGCGCCTTAGCTATTTTCGGTGCAGTTGTAGGCGTTGTTTTGACCTTTGGCACCCAAACCTGCTTAGATCTTGGTGGTTCTTTGACCACCTCTTCTTTTTGTAACTCGTGTGCTTTTTGCACAAGGATCCGGGCATGCGCAAGAAGTGTGCGGCGCTTTTGGATGCGCTCCTTGAGAGTAGAACAAGTTCGTTTGACACAAACTCATTTATTAATAGACGGTTGGGAGGAGGACCCCGATGCTTGCTGTGGCGATGACTTAGCCACTTGGCGCCTTCTAAACTCTAGATCTGCTTGGTAGCAGAGTTCGTCCACCTGCTCCAAAGCTTTAGCGAATTGACGGGCCAGACGTTGACGGCGCCTCTGATGAGCCCTTTTCGTCAGCACCAGTGCGCCTTCGACGGACAACTCCATGACCTTTAAGGAATTGTCACGAACGTCAGATCTGGCTTTCTTGGAGGTCGGAGATGAGTCTTCAACACCGTTCGGGTGAAGATTATCACCTTAAGTCCTCATATCTGAAGACCAACAAACCTTCTTGAGGGAAGTGGTCTTCCTGCGCTTGTAATGAGAGGAAGATCTGGAGGAGGAAGAGGAGATGTATTCCTTTAACTTCTGCTGGTCGAACTCGTATTCGACCACTTCATCCACAGGGATCTTGATCAGCGGCTGCGGCACGATAGCCTCGGCAGCAAGGTTGTTGGCTCCCACTGTGCTCGCCAGCGTGTTTGGATCAAAAAGCATTTTCTTTATTGTGGGACTCATTACAACTTCAGTCGTTACAATGATTCAAAAGGAATGACTTTTTATAAGTCTCCTTACACAATACAAATAAAAAGATTACAATTTTCTTGAGAACACACGCAAATAGATCGTTTATCGGTCTTCTGCTTACGCGAGATCTTTACCGGTGTCGGGGTTTATCCATGGACCACCGACTGATCATATTCGAATAACGATTTAGTTGCCTCGCGAAGGAGATAAGAAATTAAAGTAACTATCTCGACAACAGCGAGACAATCACTCTTCTCGAGAATCACAGCTAGGTGCGATCTCAAGGGAAATGGAATAACGGGATGCAGATCTCTTGAACTCTTCCTCTCTTTGTGCTGAAGAACTCGCCAAGATCTTTTCCTCCTCTCTAAAATTCGTGCTCCTCACTCTTCAATTTGACAGGACTTCGCCGAGACTCGAGAATTTTGGATCCATGAAAATGAAGGCTCTAGGGCCATATTTATAAGCTTCAGAAGCTCGGTTTTCGGATAAGAACGATCGATTTGATCTCATTCTCAGTTGTAACCACTTAACCACATTCCAAGATGACTTCAGATCAATTGGAGAGGTTTTGGATCAGAATATACTCAAATCCGGGCGGTTAACGGGCGAAATCAGCATTTTTAGGCGCGAGACAGACTTCGTGTCTCGGCTTTGGCCGAGACACGTCGTGTGTCCCGGTTGCGCGCCTCGACTTGTTTTTCGCGTAATTCCTCGGTCCGATCTCGAAATAACGCGATTCAAAGTGCGTTGGAAAGCCGGAGAGAAGATCTACAATTTCCTATGAGGAAATCATGTGTGGAGTGGACGATACACGAGTGAAACTTCATCTTTCGTGAGTGAACCGTAACTCCCGATCGGATCGTCTCTTCGTTATTTCGTCGTCTCGTTGATTCGTACGCTTCATCGACTTGCTTCATGCGGTCGTCGACGTCAAATAATCCTCTTTGACTCGGATAATGACGTTCATCATCTTCTGTCTCGAGTTACGTATGGGAACCTATAGGCAATTTTTGATGCATACAAGCTAATGGATGTCAACAAAATAAGCATGTTTAAAACATTACCACACCTTCATTTGATTTCCCAATTTTATGAATTCCTAGCAAAACTTTAAGGATTACCTGTAAAAATGTTTTCATACCGTGAACTTTTTAATTTATAGCCGTGCATATATATAAACGGACCCAAAAGTTGTAACCTCACTATCACATTTGTTGGATTACTTCCACAAAAAGAGAAGATAACATGATGAGGTAACATCATTATTTATCGAACAAATTTTCACTCTAGACCCAAATGAACTTTTAATTACCAAAATCGATCGTTTTTTTTTATTACCAAAATCGACCTGTTTTATGCCATGTAGGCTTAATCATGTTTCCTAATTAGTCGGGGTTGCCAACCCCTACTGTTTAGGAGTTGTTAAACCCCAATTAGAAGCCTTAAAACACGATTTGTAATGCCCTAAACAGTCGGGGTTGGCAGCCCCGACTAATTAGGAAAAGGGATTAAGCCTACGTGGCATAAAACGGGTCGATTTTGATAATTAAAAAAAAAACGGTCGATTTTGGTAATTAAAACTTCATTTGGGTCTACAGTGAAAATTTGTTCTTATTTATCCCCATATATAACACTGTATTATCCTTTGTCTGTACTTCTGAGAGACAAGGGAGAAGTGAGCCCACCATTAACAGAAAAGCTTAGTATGACCGGTGGAGATCAAAATGAAGGGGAATAGATTAAGAGATGCTCTCAAGTCTTTTTCTCGTGCCAATTAACACAAAACCATGTGAAGATCCTGATCAAGAAGTGGCCCTGCACTCACCTCTTCTCCAACCACAAGGTGGCTGAAAATTGTGGAAACCAAAACTGTATTTAGGTTTCAGAGTAATTGGGAGGAAGTTGGTAGCGATGAAAGGTTCGAATGTAACCACAAGATTTATGCGGCAACACTACTCGAGCAGTCTTTGGCTACGGCCACAAATTTGGGGTGTGGGTCCTAAACATAATCCATGACCATGAGGAGTATAAACTTCCTCGCCTACAGAAAACTCCAACCGAGTCAGGTTACCATCTGTGGGGAGCCCAAATCCCACACAAAAAACTACCTTAATCTGAGGACGCACGTTGATGATACGAAGCAACTAGGTCCCCCTATGCTGCCCAAGGCCTATGTAAATGGCACGAGGTGATGCGATGCTCCTCGAATGAATATATATTGGAGGCATGAGTTGACGTAGACACCCATCAATCCTTGGACCTCTTCGCCCAACGCCCCAATAACCCGACCGTTAGGCCACCCGCAAAGGGTAACATGACACTCTTTTTTCTAAATGGCATTGAATACAAAGGTGATGTAGTGTGTTTTGTGTGGAGAAATCAGGAAAAGAATCAGAAAAACCAGAAAAACTGGCATAAGTCGACTCATGCACTGTGCACGAGTCGACTTACGATCTGCAGCCGAATTGTGATTTTAGCCTCTGTCAAGTCGACTTAGCATGACTGTTAAGTCGACTTATGGCAAGTCGACTTAACAGTCATGCTAAGTCGACTTATGAAGTGTTCTCCAGTTGTTGATTTTCTCTCTGTCAAGTCGACTTGTGAGCTCTGTTAAGTCGACTTACGACGGGTTTTTTGCATACGTAGGTTTCCTATTTGCAGTCTGATTGGGGTTTTGTTTTGGTATAAATAGGGAAACGATTTGTGAGGTTAAAATATCAGAGATTGAGGAATCTTTTGAGCATTGTGAGAGGGAGATATTGTGAGCAAGGTGAGATCTTTGGTTGAGGGTTAGTTTGAGAGAATTTGTGTGATTGTAACCCTTTGTACTCTCCTTGATTTAGAGAAATCTCCCCATCCTCTCCCCGTGGACGTAGGCAAATTGCCGAACCACGTATATCTCTGTGTTTGGATTGATTTGGCTTTATTGGTTGGATTTGTGCAAGAGTTTGTCTTTCTTCTACTCGTGATCACAGGTTCGTTGTGAGTTCGTGCAAGGCTTCCGCAAAGGCGCGCGACATTTTGACAACCAGAAAGTAAACGAAAAAGGCTAAATTGCCAGATTGATATCTAACAATTGACCCTATTTTCTAACAGGGTATTTATTTTTTGCTCTGGTGTTATATGGTGATTTAATTTGTACCCGAAGACAATAGGACCATTTTCCTTCTTTCTTTTTTTTTTTTGGAAAATTTATTCCAACACCTTAACCTACCAAAATTATTAAATCTACACATTTATCTCCTTCAACCTGTTCCAATTCAATTTTTTTTTTTTTACCTTTTAACCCGATAAGATCATCCTCCACGCTTTCTTTCCCTCCCATTAAAGAAGCCCTTTTTTTCTCCTTGAAGTTTCCTCGACTCAAACCTAAATCCTAATTTAAAATTCGTATCCGCTTGGATGAAGGTTGTTGGTGATTCCGCTTGGATGAAGGTTGTTGGGGTTTGATTCAGCATCGATAGGGTTGGATTAGGCTTAGGTTTGAATTGGGGGAGCTTGAAGGCTAAAGAGGGACTCAAAGAAAGGTTTTATTGTTTAAAAGGGTTGGGAGAAACTTGAATTGGGGGAGGTTAAAGGAGATATAGATTTAATAACTTTGATAGGTCAGGGGGGATGGAAGAAATTTTTCCAAGAAAAACATAGTTCGCCAGAATTCTCACCGCTAGCGAGAGAAAAAAGCATTATTGTTATCGAGGAACAAGTTAAAACACCACATTAATGCCGGAGCATAAATAAATATCTTATTGGAAAAATAAAATCCAGTTAGAATACCAATCTAGTAGCCAAATGGAAAATTAAGAGAACCACTTACAGATCCTTTTCAGACAACGAAGAATGAAATAACTAAAATTTGACAGCGATTAATCTGGCATCCACTTTCTTTAATCATGTTCATGGAAAATGAAATATAGTAAATAGATACTGCAAAGTAAAATCATTAGAAGAGAGAAGTTAAAGTTCTCATTCATATTTCATCCTCAACTCTTTAACTAATCTCCCATCTTGACTTCAATCCCACACATTATACACATGTTGAAGGTAGCAACCAAGGATAACATAATCATAACAGGCTGTTTGGCCAATCTACATCCCTGTCTTCTCATTTTGAGAATCCAAGAGCACTAAAAATCCAGTTCTAAGGGTAGCTCTTCGGGAGCTAAAACTTCTACAAAGATGAAAAAATATCACGTCCCTGTGAATATAACATATGATTCTAATGAACAACTTTCAGAATTGACTATTATGTTCCAAACGTTAGCGGCTTTAATAAAAGGAAATTTACGAAAAAAGTTATGCAGTTGTCAAATAAGATCATGGTTCCTTTGCGTGTCGACAGGAAGCACCAAAAGAAGAATTCGCATATAAACAGTTTTTGAAGAATCTGAGGGAGAACAGCACAAAAGCCATAGATTAAGAACTGTAACTTCATAGAGAAATACAGAGATGAGGAAAGGAAGAGAAAAAAAAAACCTAACACCTCCGGCGAGTCTTGAGCCTCAGCCAGGTGCACATCTTTGAATAAAGTGGATGAAAAGGAAAGTAAGAATTACGTCCTGAAATTATTCATCTTCGAGAGTTTGCTAAGAATCCATCTAGCTCACTTCGCCAACCAAAGCCTGGAAAGCCACATATAGAGACGGGGGGCCGAGGGGAGTAGCTCAAGTACGGAGAGGGCCAGTTACTGGTTCTCTTCCAGAATTTGCATCTTTGTGCTTTAAGGAGAGATTGGTAAACTGCGATTCGAGATCTCTGCTTTTACTACGATTATGAGCAGAAGCAGGCTGTGGTGATTGTTGCTGTTGCTGCTGCTGCTGAAACAATAATCGAAGACGAGCAATTTCTCTCTCCAACATTTCTTGCTGGACTGCAGTTTACCAAAAGACAAAGTTGTAAACAAAATGTGAGATAGTTAAATCCTACTGAAGGCCCCTCTATAGGATGTCGTGTATGGAGGCAGGATGGTAACAAGTGGCATATCACGAATCTTAATGCATACATCACTAATGTCTATTAGTGCAGTCATCATTATCCATCAGTGACTTCACTGATAGACGTGATTGCACTGAAAATGATAGTAACTGCACTGATTTGCCAGGTGTCACCCTCTCCTTCCACTCTACATGATACTGTATAGGTCCTCTAGGAAAAAAATTTCCCCGTATAACCTGCTTGTGGAGTGAACTGAAACATGAAACACAAATAAAAAACATTTTACAAGGAAAAAAAAATAAAAGAACGGAAAAATTAGTTTCGACAACTCTCAGCTAAAATTGGCTCCAATAGCCTCAATAGTCATTGAATGTCTAAAATAGAATTAGTAGGTTCAAAATAAAATTAGGATAATTTTAAATAGAATTGTGCTAGGTTTAACAATAAATGTAACAAAAATTAAGAGTTAAAAAGTTTTAAAATTAGCACGTGATGATCGTATGAGAATTTTGGGGCAAAATTCTCATGTTTGCATAACTACGGTGTTAAAGTGCAAAATTTAAAAACTTTAGGGTATATAACTGCCGCCAATAACAAGTGAAGGCATATAAGTGCAAAGTAGGGAAAATTATAGGGTATTTAAGTGCAATTAGCCCTAAATTTTACAAAAAATACAATTATGATTTCTAAGATAAACTCCAACAGTTTTCTTTAAAAAAATATATACTCCAACAGGTATGGATCATCTTCACAGAGTTGGAACTCTTATCTGAGGGCAAGTAAGGAAGGGATGTAATCATATCATACTCCTTTTAAAAGTGGAAGTTTGAGAAAAACTTTCATTGGACAATACTGCCCTTGATTTTTTATAAATATCACATTATATCGTATCCTAATTAACAGAACTCTTTAAATATATCTATAATACACTATTTGTGACATATCCTAATTAATAGAAATATCTTTCATATATTCTCAGTCATCCAAAAGTTATAAACAATGTTCTTAAATATCTAAAAATTATATAAATCACCCTTAAATTAGAAAATTACAAACAATGCCTTAGAAATCAAAAAAAATCCAAAAAGTCCTTATAACTTACAAAAATTGTAAACAATCCCTAATACAAGTGCAAATTACAAATCGTCATTTAAAACTTCTAAAAATCACAAACATGAGGACCCCATGAAAACCCTAAAAGTTAAAAAAAACACCTCTAAAATCTAAAAATCTAAAAATACAAAAAAAACTCTGAATATTTGAAAATTTTAAACAACCTCCTGAATAATATGAAATTACGTGCAAAATCCTAAATATTGTAAGTTACCAACAACTTCCTCACCAAAAAATTTAAAATTTATTAAAAACACCTTTAAAATATGAAATCATTTGAACAGTCCCCTAAAAAATTGAAATTATATGCAACACCCAAAAAAACAAAAATAAAATAAAAATATTCCCCTTGAAAAAGCTTAATTTTATAAAAAAAATATCTTAGAAAATTTCAAAAATAACAAAAAAATGAATATCAAAATTTTTTCAATAGTTCCAAAAATAATTTGTAATTACATACAACAACCTAAAAAAAATTAAATTCTTGAACTTCCATAATCTGAAAGAAGTGAAGTTAGTAGATATTAATCCACTCATGGAGTTAAATATATTTTTAAATATCTTGACTAAACAAAAAATAATTGCTGTTGTGAAGCAACAAAAAAAGTAGTTAGTTGTTTGGTGGTGATCCTTTAAAAATTGAAGGATACATTGATTATAATTCAAGTGTGATCCTTACGATAGAAAATTTATATCAGGTTTTATCTTTATATTAAATAATAAAGCTATTAGTTGAAGTGGTTACAAGTAAAAAAAACTATAGCTAACTCTACAACTAAAGAAGAGTATATTGCAGCTTATAAAGCAACAAAAAAAGTAGTTTGGATTAAAAAATTCGTGCAAGAGTTAGGTGTTTTTTCAACTACCGAATATTCCATTACTTTGTATTTTGATAATAGCAGGTTGCCCAAGCTAGAGTGCCTAGGGTTAATCATAAATCGAAACCACATCGAATGAAAGTATAACTTGGTAAGAGAAATTGTTAAGAGAGGAAACATAAACATTCTTAAAGTTGCTTCTGCTGATAATGTGGCAAACTCATTAACTAAACTTTTAAGTTAAAAGCTGTTTGAGAAATATATTGATAAGATGGATTTAAAATTTATATCAAATTGGTTTTGAGCACGAGTGGGAGACGGGAAGATGTATGCTCTACAAAACCAATAAATAAGAGTTTACATGTATATTTACAAAAAACCCTTAAAATATAAAATTTTTAAACAACCTTCTGAATAATATGAAATTATAGGCAGAGCCATGAAATTTGAAATTACTAACAACCTCCTCACAAAAAATTTTAAAAAATTACAAAACTCATCTAAAAAATATGAGAATTTTGAATAGTCCTCTATACAACTTGAAATTATAGACAATACCTTAAAAAAATTTAAAAATACAAACAATCACCTTAAAAATCTAAAAATTATAAAAAAATACCCCAAACACTCTAAAAATTACAAACAAATACCTTGAAAATTAGGAACAGTTCTATGAACAATTTGTAATTACGTATAGCACACTAAAATTTTGAAAATTAAAAAACAAGCTTTTAAAAATCTTAAGTTGCAGAAAATACCCTGGAAAAAGTGAAAATAAAAAAACTTTGACTGGCCCTCTGAATAATCTAACCACTGATTATTCAAAAATAACAAATACCTCCGAAAAGTCTTTAAAAATAGAAAAAACATGTCAAAATTAAAAAATTATAAAAACTACTCTGAAAATCTAAAATTTTCATTTTTTTCCAAGTACAATTTGAAATTACAAAGCCCGCCAAAAGGTTCAAAAATTAGGAAAACTCCTAAGAAAATATTAAAGTTATAGACAACCTTATGAAAAAAACTTACAAATAGCTCCCTAAAAATAAAATATTGCAAGCAGGCTCCTAGAAAAAAAATCTAAACGCTCTCCTTAAAATCGAAAAGTACCAAAATAAGTTGTTATGCATTTGCTATATAAGATAAAAGTTCTTTGGTATGTTTGTTATCAAAGTTCTAAAATTACAAGTTGTAATTTTTCATGTCTGTTAGATCAAAGTTCTAAATTTTGAAAGGCATAACTAAATTTAATACATTATCAAGTTAGATATTAGTCTACAAAATATTATCATCATCAAGTAGAGGTTTAACAAGATGATTTTATTTAATGCAATAAATTATAGAGTAACCATGAACTATTTCACAAATCTGTTATAGTATAGACATAAATCTGTTTCTCAGAAAAAAAGCGTAAACTAGAATAAAATAGTTAAATTATTTAACGGCGTGCAATGCACGTGCATCCCACCTAGTATGAGTAAAATAGCAACTGTACTAGGAGCAATGAATATAATATTCTACAGGAGTAATGAATATAATATTCTGCAGAACAATATTTGTGGTCATATAGCCGTTGATTCTGTCTGAATCTCAATAGCTAGTGAGGTATGACTCACTAGTAAGGCAGGGGTTAATTAATGGGAGCTCCCAGCTAAAAACCAGGATATAACCTTTGGTTGATAAATGAATTTTAAAGTGATAAAGCAAGTAATACTTCTTGACATTAAGATCGGTTTTAATTACAATTTAGAAATAATGTAGGTATGGTTTTGCACCTACTGAAGATGAAAAGGCTGAAACTGCATGCATCAGAAACAGGCTGCATAGGAGAACTTTTTAAGAGGTGGACATTGACACTAAACCGTAGTCAGTGGTCTCAGTAGTGAATATAAGCAGATTCGGGAGCATGAACCGGATTTACTCCAGGATCACAAGATGTTTAGTATTGAGGACACAACATTCTCATAGATTCATGTGTAAATTATCACTGTCCGGTACCTTAGAAGCTAAGATACTAGACAAAAAATGTCCAAGGAAAATTAAGCAAAATACTGTGGAGAATGTTCTTACGCTTTTTAATGAGATGCTCCTGTGCTAGACTGTCAAGCCGTTGCTTCAGGGTTTGATTCTCCATGTTCAGTATAAGATTCTGCTGATCCACAAATTCCAGCTCCGCTGAAACTTCCATACCTTCTGCCTGTAGTAATTTGTAATTCAACGTTAGAATAGAAGCACTTTATCCACTAGATGTGCTTTCTTCAGCATTCAGATATGTAAGCACTTGCCTGTAAAGCTTGAACATTTCTCTCCAGTTCTGCAATGTACTGAAGTTTCCGAACACGCGATCGCTGAGCAAATTGCCTGTGACAGTGAAAAGATTAGGTTGAGAAATAAATCAATAATATTACCAGATTAGACTTGTTTTTCACTACAAGAAATCTGGTATTTAACGACCAAAATTAGTGAAGGGACCAGTTGACCGTCATTAATGTGCATACAATAACGACGGGTTTTAATCCCTTCGTCGAGTGATTACAAACATTAGAGAAATAATGTGATATGGGATAACGGATTTATAATCCCTTCGTTGATTTGATCCTAATACCGTCGAAATTTATTGGGTCTCCTTAAAAACGAAGGGATCCATTACCTTCATTGATGGGACTCCTAATCATAATTAGACTAAAATTAACCTATTGCTATTAACACATCCCACATTAAAATCCGATGCCCCACATTAAAACCCGAAGCCCCAATTTTACAAACCCCTTAACTGCTAATCATCCTCTAACCGCAATAATAATTAATTAAACCCTAGTTAAAAAAATCTGCCGTTCTCTTTATCATCCTCACCTCTAAAACTCGTCGTGTTTCTCCTAGCACTACAACAAATTGCACTTTTCCCCACGCTTATTCCTGACACATGGTTAAATACGTTGCCAAAAATTATGTTTTTCCCGACGATGTTAATTAGCATCGGCAAAACATATATTTTTCGTTGCGTTTATAATTAGCGTCACTAAAAGTGTATATTATTTGTAACGTTTTAACTTAGCGTCGGTAAAAGTGTATGGATTTCACGACGTTTTTTATTTTCATCAGTAAAAATATATATTTTTAGTGACATTTTAGGGTTGGCGTCGCTAATATAATATGCATTTATCGCGACATGTTACGTTAGCGTCGCTAAAAAACTTTTTTTCGCAACGTGTTAGATTAGCATCGCTAAAAGGCTCGTCCACCATATTTCGTCAATTCCGTCTTAGATCCTTTATTTTTGTTTGAGCGGGCTCCCAAATTTTCCAAACCCCGCTTCTAAAAGTTTTCCCCCTTCTGTTTTCCTCAAACATGCTCAAAATTTCCAAAACCCTCCCTTTCAAAATTTCTCTAGCTTCCTCCTCGTCCACGCCTTCCTCTCCCGCCCCCTCTAATTCGTCCTCCTCGACGGTGGCGCCTACATAGCCATCGTTGACGCCGCCCGAGTACATCGGAGATCTGATCCCTCCACCCCCGTCGCCTCCGCCCCCACCGCCTCCGCCCCCGCCGAGGGTTTCAGGCGCCACCAGCCGAGCGTTTCCCTCCTCTCCTTGGCTCCCTCCGCCAGCTGCCTCTCCTTCACTTCCCCTCGTTCGACACCTCCGCTTGTTCGCCGACCATCCCAATTGTTTCGGTTCAATAATCTTTCTTCTCAAATTTTGATTTTTTTATTTTTTTTACCAGCAAGAAAAAAGAAGGAAGTGAAGAAAGAGACAGGACTTGGGATGAGGTTTAAGAAAGATGAAAACTTTGGTGAATGACATTCTGAGGTATTATTGCATATTTTTCCTCATATTTTGAACAGGACGTTTTACTGATTTCTTTTTTGCTAACTTCCTATTTTTCAATTTTATTTTTATTTTCGGGTGGTTGTTAGTGGTGATATGATCGAGTATTATGATATTTCTGGATGTTATATACAAAGGCCTTGGACAATAGCAATTTGGGAAAGCATGCAAGTGAGTGCTTAGATTTTGCATATTATTGTGCTTAAAACTTGTTATTATGATGAAATATTGTATAATTATGACAACCATTGACAGTTTTAACTATGAGAAACTAAAGGAAAAAATTACTTATTTACAGAACATCATAACCCTCATACCAACATTAATATTTCTTTTGATAACTGGTTATTTCATCTCTTGCTACTACAATAATCACAAACCAATACTGTACTTTTCCTTACTTTAGCATGGTGTTTTGGCTTTGGGATATTTTAATTAGAAAATATGAATAAACAGGTCACCATATGTCATACAGATTTATCTTTATAAATACTTCAATTTGGCAGGATTTCTTTGATGAAAAAATAAAGAATATGAAAGTTAAGAATTGCTACTTTCCACTATTTGTAACTGAGAATGTCCCTTTGCTGTGGAACTACTTAAACAATCTCTTTTTGCGGGTTTAAAGGGAGCTGATGCATAGCAACTGTTTTGAGATATTAATACATAGTACTGTCTGGATATTTCTGAACACTTATTAATATGCCTTTTGGGTGTTAACTTTTATATAGTGCGTACGAGTAGGATGTTTATTATGTTATAGTTCACATGAACTCATACATTAACTATAATTAGAATTTCTCATTGAGAAACTCTTATGGGGTGTTATTGGCTTAGGATAGTTGGTTAGGAAGAATAATCGTCCAAGAATTTTTTACTTTCTAGGATTCCGACTAGAACTTGGACTTTTTTTAATATTCAAATACTAGATTTTTGGATTAAAATTTGGATTCTTGGGTTAACATCTTTCATGTAGTTCCTCCACATCTGATTTAATACGGGTCTTCTTAGATGTTTTGTTGTAACTATGGAACTTTTGCATATATTTCTGCTTGTGTTGTTTGTGTGTATAAGTGCACAGATGGTTCTATTGTGCATGAATGTTTGTTTTGTGTTATGCTTTTCTTTCAATTCTTATGTGTTCTTTTATTTGGGTTTCTAAATAATGTATACATTTTCCTGGTTTTGTGACACACATTCCGTCTCTATTTTTATGACTATTTTAGGTTGCATGGGTTACAAATTCAGGTCAGAGTGAACTGGAAATTCCTATTGCAATTCGTCCCACAAGTGAGACTGTTATGTATCCATACTATTCTAAGTGGATTAGAAGTCACAGGGACTTGCCTTTGAAGCTTAACCAATGGGGCAATGTCGTGCGTTGGGAATTCAGCAATCCTGCTCCTTTCATTAGGTATTTATATTATAATCCTTCTGCACGTGCTTGGGAATTCAGCTGCAAGCTTTTATAATCCTAAATTTCGTATATGAAAGGCTTAAGAAGTTCAGGGCTTCCTGTTGAACAGGAAATAAACTTAAATGAGGGTTGTTAAGACAATTAAATACACACGCACATGTAGTTTACCATGAGATAATGTTCTTCTAGTCTTGTTATTCTATTTATCTCAACTGCTCTAAACTACTTTATGTATGATATGCAAGACATATTATGCATCTTTCATTTGATATCTGATATTCCTGCTATATATATTAGCAGTTTATTTTTATCATGATTGAAAAGAAAATTGAATGGATCAATCACCTGTTAAATATGTGATTTTTATCATGGGATACTAATTTATAATGGGAGTAATGCCACAAAAGAAGTATTTCCCCATTGCATGGTGTCCAAACGGGGTGAAAGTAGACATATTTAGTACTAATTTAAATTGCTCTGATCATGTTACTGAGTTCAAATATATAAAAAGATGACATGATCAATTGACTTCTCGTTAGCCGGACGCAAAGGACAGACATATTAGGCACCTCCAAAACATCAACTTCATTCTCTTGATCGAAAATGCTCACATCTCAAATGGATATCTCATGTTTTTCAAACCATTTCAAGACATTATTACCTGGTAGCGTACATTCTGTCTTTGCATTAGTCTAAATTGGAAATTCCTCTGTAGGCTATACACATAGGAATACGTTGGTTTTGGAAACACCATCTATGGTTTACGAAGATCTAAAAGCTATTTTCTATTTGGTACTAGAAAAGTATATGCTTTTCTATTTCCTTTGTAAAAGAATTTGCAGATGGTGAATAAAACTGACATTTTGACCAAGCTTAACATATATATCAATTTAATCATTCTCACTCCCTAGTAAAGAATGGATATGCGCAATTGGATACTTCTGTCCAGTTAGCCTCAACACATCCTTTCAAACGAAATATCACCAAGGTGAATCTTTAATCGATTATATGCTAATAAATATTGTTGTGCTTCATCTCAAAACATTTGTATCTCAAGCTCATGAAATATACAACAAAATTAACTCCGTACAAGGAATACGCCTTGATGAAGTCCTGACAATTTGTTTTCTCTTCAGGCCCCATATTTTGTTAACCCCTGTCCTCATTAAGCCCCAAATTTATGTCAACTCTAGTCCTAATCAAACCTCATTACCTTCCCTAAAAAAACTTTTATTTAGATTCTTTTCGGGGAAAATGCATTAGAATTTTATAGTAATTGTTCGCATGTGATAGACCACGGCATATCGGAACAAATGATCAGTGCTGTGATGGAAGTTGCAAAAGAATTCTTCGACATGCCTATGGAAGACAAGGCCGTATGCTATTCACTTATTCAGAGGATTTCAAAAAAGTCCCCAGACTTTACACGAGCCATGGCTGCAGCAATCACGAAAGACAATTAAGGAGGGACTGCTTGCGACTTGTTTACTATGGACCTGGCGATGAATTCATGCACCTCTATCCCCAAAAGCCCACCACATTCGGATACTCGACTCAACAAAGTTTTCATGCAGCTGGGGCTACAGCTAAGTGGGTTTCTATATTGTCAGGGATATCATTGTCAAATTCGTAGCAGAGGTAGAAGGATCGGCCACCAGGATCCTAAAATTAATATCCCAGGAATTAGGACTAGGTGAAGATTACCTTAGCAGATGTCTTTTATATTTAGTACTAATTTAAATGAAATATTTTCCCTTGTAGACATATATAATGGGCGTAATGCCACAAATGAAGTATTTTCCCATTGCATGGTGTCCAAACGGGGTGAAAGATGACATATATTGGTCATCCAATGCTAATTATTGCTTCTTTTGTGAGCTTGAAAATTTTCACTTGTATATTTCATATTTAGTACCAATTTAAATGTATGTAGGAGTCAAGAGTTTCTTTGGCAAGAAGGGCATACGGCTTTTGCAATAAAAGAAGAAACAGATCAGGAGGTAATTACATTGTCCTTCCTTTATTATTCTTTGTCATTATGGATTCTCAATCAGGATCAGAATTTTAGTTTATTTTATGAATCATGACAAGCCTGATGCCAGTAGCTTACCCTTTCTCTATTACCATGGTTTTTACTCATATGGCATGTTATTCCTATCTATCTTGCATAATAAGGGTCATACTTTCCGTTTTCTTTTGTGTTTCACCATTAAAGATGTCGATTTTAAATATAAAAGATTAAGCAGGAGACTGTCATTTGTTGTATCTGTAGAGGACATCATACAAAAGTGGCATAATTATTTTCTTGACTGAACATTTTTTCTGTTTGAAGGATATGAAATATGGGCAGGAGCAACAACATCAACAACAACAAATGGTGTTTGACTTAGAGTCACAAGTGAAAGCTATACAGGAACTTTTTTTAGGTAGCCATCTTCATTGACTCCTCAAACTCGAGAACATGTGCAGGACTAGGTAATTATTTTTTTATAAAATCTCTTATATATTTTTATGATTGACTACTTGCACTTGAGAAAATAAGATTTTTACTTAATAAGATAATAACTGCTTAATTGATATTTTTTAATTATGTAATTTTTTTTAATTTTCCAGGCTATCCATGCAATATTAGGAGAGGGGGTAGCTCGAGTCTTCTTTTGACGATGATTAGAGATGAAACGATGTGTCTTTCCCAGACTTCTATTTTAATTTGTTTTAGATAGTCTCACGTATTTTCCTTTAGAACAATTAGGATATTAACACTTGTTATTAGTGTTGAATATTTGAGGATGGTGGAATTTTATTTATTGATGTTATTAATGAATGGAGTTTTTGATTTCTTTTTTATTCATTATTGGGTATTAATATATTTGTGTTGTGAATCTTAGTTTCATGTTGAGAATAATATGATAGTTGCCTATGAATGGAAAAATTATCATTAATGTAAATTAGAAATTTGTAGTCTATAATGACGGTTTTATAAATCATGTTTTGTTCATCAACGAAGGGAAAGCACCATCGTTGATAGGTTACTAATTACCCACCATGAGGACTTTTACGACGGTATCTAGCCGTCATTAATTGGTCTTTAACAACGGGGTTGTCACCCGTTGTTACACAATAATAACGGGCGTACAAAACCATCATTACACAATAACAACGGGAATGAAAACCCGTCATTTAAAGTAACGACGGGAAAATATCCCCGTAACTAATGGTAACGACGATAAAATATTCCCGTCGCTGATGGTAACGACGGGAAAATAACCCCGTCACTAATGGTAACGACAGTGATAATTACCGTCGTAAATATTAACGACAGTAATATGTTCCGTCGTTATAGACTCAATAACGACGGGTAGTATATCCCTTCGTGACCCTTTAGCGAAGAGGGCTTCAACGACGGGTGACGAAGGGATTTTTTCCTGTCGTTAGCATACAATAACGACGGTTTTCAGCTCTTTAACGAAGGAAAATCCTTTCGTTAAAGCCGTAATTTCTTGTAGTGTTTGTTATTACTTGAAGGTGTATGATAATTGATAAAAGCTAATAATTAATACGGAAGATATATTATGTCAGTATTAATATGCTACTTGAAGGTGTATGATAATTGATAAAAACTAATAATTGATACGGAAGATACATTATATCAGTATTAATATGCCCGTTTATGCTCCAAATGGCACAACACAATCTACTTGCAGAACTCTTACATTCTTATTACTCCTATTGAGGATAAAATGAGAAAGAATCGCCTAAGATGGTTTGGACACATACAATGGAGACATCTTAGTTCACCAGTTTAAAAAAGTGATAATATTATAGGCAAAGAGATCTAAAAGTAGACCTAAGAGAATTTGGTTGGAAGCAATTAAGAAGGATATGATAGTGGTTAACCTAAAAGAGTAGATGACTCATAATAGAATGGAATGAAAGAGTAGGATTCGTGTAGCCAACCCAAAATATTTGGGATAAAGGCTTTGTTGTTGATGTTGTATCCAGTACAAGGTCTGAATATCAATGCTCATGCATCCGAGTAAAAATCCTTTCTTCTACTAAAGAAAGTGTTTCAAGTGTACGCTTTCTTCATAATTGGTTGGGCCCATAACCTTGTCTGCTATACATCTATGCACATGCCTGAAGACCCAACGTTGTCCTGATTCCACTCTAGGATCATGTAGTAACTTGCTAAAATTGTACTCACCTGTTCTAGTATTCAACAAACGAGCCCCAAACTAATCAAACTCCATAACCAATGGACTCCACTCCGCTTCTTAAACATATTATGTATGTGAACCTAGCTCTGAAGTTAGTCATAATAGAGATTGTTATGGTGTTTTCAGTCGCCAAATTGTGATATCTTATCAACAACAGGCAAGTATCTCACATTATGCCTAATCCAGTCAACCCGACGCTTAGGACAGCCAGAGCCCCGATTTAGCAGACTCGCCGAGTCAACATCTCGCTGGGTCGGCTCGAGA